CGCACCTCATAACGATGAAATCGCATAGCGATCCGTTTTTTCGGATCGCTAATGCGATCGCTTAACATTTTTAAAATAGGGCTAAATTCGCTTTGCGAAGACCGGTAAGCGTTTCGCTTACCGATCTTCGCAAAACGAAGCCCGACCATCAGCTGTTCGGCGGCCAAAATGGCCGCCGGAAGCCCGGAAATGGCCCAAAATGGCCGCGCGCAGCGTTTTCGCACCCTCGTTAAGCGAGGCGAGGGCGCGAAAATGGCTGCTGGCCATTACGAAGCTTCGCTGAACGGTGAGTATTTGGCCCATTTGGAACGCATGAAACGATGTTTAATGCGTTCCAATGGGTTTTTTTGATCCGTTGAACGATGCTTCAGCATAGCGAAGGTTAATCCGGAATGGATTAACCTCGCTACGCGAGGCACCACTGTATATAGTGCAGTGAGCAATAGCATACATTGCATTGTACATTTATTGGACACCAAAATGCCTATTCTGTCTTACTTGTAACTGTCCTAGGCTGCTAGTGCATCTCCTTCTTTTTTCATATCTTTCATTTTCCCACATCAGTGAAATATATTGCACATGAGTTGACGGTGCATGTGTTGTGTGTGAGAGAAATCATATTGCATAGTTGCAGTTTCAGTGGTTTGTTTAACATCTTTCTTTCATTTGTGTTCACAGTGATCACCTTCAGATCTTGCTTACTTGATATTGTGGCTGTAGCAAAATCGTTCATTTTTGTTTATTTATATACATAATTTATGTTAATTTACAAAAACAATGTTACTGATGGGTATTGTGTGATGTCTTTCTGCCCTCCAAGTTCTAGGAAACACTAAGAAATTTTCACAAAGGCTAGAATTCTGTTGCTCAGTAAAAAAAAGCTTCACCAGGGTAAACCCATTGAATTGGGGATTTGGTGAGTCAACTCCTCTGTAAGTTCCATTTGATTAAGTGGGCCTACTCTAGTTGTGATTTACTATACTAAAGTTAAGTCACAACTGGAATAGGTACATTGAATCTATGAAAGAGTTGATTCACCAAATCCTCGCTGGTTCATTGGGCCCACTCTAGTTCCTCAGCAATAGGATTTCAGACACTGCCTTCCAGTATTAATATTGGAATCTGGTGAGCTTTAATTGTGATTCAGCTTTTGAGGTCTGCTTCTATCAGGAATATATTTCTGTACTTAAATGTGTAATTTCATTCAAGGTGAATTGCTTCCTGACTTTATTAAATCATTAATAGGAAATATATTTTCTTATGGTACTTTATACACAAACTCCAATATATAAATAAGCTTGTCCTGAATTGGTGAACAGATTAGTGATTATTCCAAACAGAAAATATTGAACTGAAAAATGTTTTCAGCATTAGAAATAATACCCCAGTTCTCTTTCTGTATTAATAAACATGTTAATGACTAGACCTAGGATATATTCTTTTAAAACATTTTTTTTAAAAAATCTATTATTTGAGTATTCTTTACTTAAGAATACTTATGTTTTAAAAATACCTTCTTTCTCTGCAACAGTAATTTTAAATCTAAGTCAAAATATGCTAGTAAGAACATTATCAGGAGAAGAATTTGTCTTCATTTTGAAAGATACTATTTCTGTCTCTACTTCATCATTACATCCAGTGTTTGTTGAGTCCCTTGTGTGGTGAAAATGCTAAATTTATTCATTATACTGTAGATAACAATGAGAAAGTATGCCAGCCCCAGATACCACAATTTACAAATTGTGACTGGTGTTTGAGATGAATCTCACAAGATCAGGAGATCCTGCAGAAATTCTTAGGGCCGTGAGATCTCACACACGGAATTCTTGTGTGAGAATCCTTTTTGAACCTAACAAAATTGGGCCAAAGCAGCAGGTCTCAGTGTCCAATATTTTCTATAGTGAAAATTAATATGAAGATTTCATTTAGCTTCTTCCTCTCTTCTATTAACTATCCTTCCATACCTTTATACTCTATCATCTGATCACTGCCTATGTATTCAGATTTTAAATTTTGAACTATTTTAAATTGTTTTAGCAAAATCTTCCTCATTCTTTCTTTCCCTCCAGATGCTTCTTTTAATCAATAATTTCCCCCCACCCCACAGTTTTGCCTTGCTCTCTATCTTCCTTATTTGAAGAGGGTTCTTATCTTTTTGAGACAACGTTCTTGCCTTCCAGAATTACAATGTTCAGATTTTTACACAGTATGGTATTTTCATTTTTCCCCCTAATCTGTGTATATGTTCTGCTGACTGAGCTTCTGTTATTACCATCTGAGAGCTTTCCGGGACAGATCATTTGTCCCACCACTCTACCTTTTTTAAAAATGGTTGATTATAGAGGGGCATAGAGTTTACTGACATCTGCATTCAAACAAATCCACTTCTTATTTTAAGAAAGAGGAAAGAAAGTGGAGCTTTTTCTTTAAAAAATTAATGCAAACAGTTTCTCTGCTGGGGCTTTGCTCGATTTTCTCTTTAAAATGCTTTTGAGTTCAAATTGAAAAGTTCTGATGGATAAACGTGTTCCTGAAGTGAACTTCAAAGAAAAGTCCTATACTCCTAAACACACACACGCACACCACACAAAGAAACTAAACTAGAAATATGATGCCTTCAAGAGATACAAAAAGGTAGGGAAAGTAACACATTTTACCATATAATTATCAAGACAAGGCAAGGTCATGTGGGTAATGGAAATATGCTGCTTAACATCATTGTAGGATCAGGACATTACAGATAACAATTGCTCAGTCTGGAATACCCTAAATAACCTTCAAGCATCCTGGAAGAGATTTTAGCCTCCTGGCTTCTCCTTTCAACATTCTATCACCTTGCTCCCTTATTTTGGAGAATTTCCAGTTCTCAAATTAAACATGACCATTTCTGGTTTTCATTTAAGACACAATGTTCAGTCAGTTTTTCTGAGTAGTTCCTTAAACTTTTAATAAACTTCTAATGAACCATTTGTTTATTATGGGCAGCCTGATGCAGTATTTGAAACCTAGCCTTTTTGATGAGATTTTAGTGGTCTAATAAATGTGTCATTAACACTTGTTTTTTGAATGTTGCATAAAGACTGCATAGCCTTTTTCTGTTTTCCCCCGAATAGGTTGAAGTTTACAGTTCCTGGGCACTATTCAGGATTCAGTAAAATATTGCTTTCCTTTAATCATCATAATGATTAGTGGTTCTAAGTTTATGATAAAACTTGTTAACCTTTAAGGTGACACAAGACTTCCTTTTGTTCTAAATCACATGATTTATCATATCTACAAATGCATTATTATTATTGTTGTTGTTGTTGTTGTTATTTATTTATTGATTTGATTTGATTTGATTTGATTTGATTTGATTTGATTTGATTTGATTTGATTTATACCCCGCCTATCTGGGTGACTCGTCCAGTCTGCAACATACATTTACAGTCAGAAGATGTCAACAAAATCAAAGCCACAAATATTACAGCTACTTAAGACCAACAAATTTATTTCAGATGTGTCTTAAGAAGTGGCCAGTAATCTATAGTGGCTGAAACCTAAATGAATGTGTTAGTCTTAAAGGGGACATAATACTTTTGTTTTTGGTTTGGTGAAACAGACTAACACAGCTACCTGTCTGAAGTCTGTTTATTATCCTTGATTATGGGGAGATACAGAGCAAGTGTCCCAGCAGTTTTTATTTCTTTCTATGAATTTTATATTGAGAGATAACTATTAAAACACTACAATTGTTGTTTCACTGTGTGCTTTTTCTAAAGCATTCCATTTACTCCTGGTGAGTATAACAGAATCTCTAATTTTATTTAAAAAAAATTTTGGCTCAGTGAAATAATCTGATGCACAGTCCCCACCACCATTAAAACACAGTGCTGTAAAATTATACAATTTTATTGAAATAAATATATTGTGTAATGAAGGATTACGGTTTTGATTAGTTGTAGTAGAATACGGTTGATGCAGCAAAAGGAGCAGATCCTTGCTTCAGATAACCTGCTTGCCAGCCAATGTACAACTTTACCTTGATGGGTAACACAGGATTGCATAAAAATTGGATATACCCCGAGGCATGTGACTACTAGGGGAACCCTTCTGCATCCATTGTAGTGGGGGCTACAGAACCCTCTCAAGCTGGCCAACATCTTTGGCAGCCCTCGCCCTGATCTCCATACTGGGATAAGACTGAATACCAGTCTCTCTGGAGGTTCACTCTTACGCACAAAGCCAGCCTCCACTGCAACAAAGAGGCCACAACAAAGTTTAAAAACATCATAACAAAACATTAACTCCTGTTCATCATTACATTAATACAACTACTATAAAACTATACAGATTACTTAACAAGGGAGGTGAGTGAGCAATGTCTCATGGAAGACTTCCCAGAAAGGAAATGGGAGCCCATAAAATGCTTCCCTGATGAACCAGAGTGTGCCAGAGTGTTCCAGTGTGCCAGGCAGGTTCCTCCTTTCATTCCCATCCTGCCTTTGACTATCAGGGTTTCCCCAGCCAGCCCTCACACAGATGGCTGGCTCTTGATTCTTGGGGCAGCCTTGCCAGGCCACATACAGAGCCCCATGTAAGAGATGACTGGGATACCCTGGCATATTTTCCATGTAAGAGGGTGTTCATGTAACTGTACGCTCCATCTGTCTGTCTCTCTTTAGCAACAAAAATCCAACACTAATATAAGGGATTATTGAAAGTATTATTAATATCCTTACTTTGTTTGGTGAGTTCATGTGACCACATGTGAGTGGCAGAGCTGTTTTTCATAGATGGAAATGTGTAATTCTACCATGGGGAGTTCATTTTCACAAGATCACATTGCCATGATTCCCCCTACGCATCTGCACCTCCCCTCCCCAAAAAAAACATGGGCAGAGGGTACGAATCACAACATGATGATAAATTCTGAAAAACTGAGTAGTACTGGATTTATGGAGCATGTTTCCAAAGACTGAAGAATACTGCTTAATTCAGTTTTGCCATATTTTGTCTAGGCAATTTACAGCTTTCACCTGATATTTACAGCACGGACGATGTAGTTCTGGAGCTATCAGAGATAGAGGAGACCACCTCTCTTAGCAGCTGCCTTGCCTCAGAGGACACCACAGAAGATTCAGGTGTAATGAGTTCCCTCTCTGATGTTGTATCATTGAATTCTCAAAACGACAGCATGAGGTCCAGAGACAAGTCCCTCGGTGCCCAGGAGACCTCACCTGAAATGGATTCCATGTTTGCTATAGAGGCTTGCTCTGGTAGAAATACTTCTTTCAATAGTGATGATGCTGGGAACATCCTCCAAAGGTAAGTCTGATACACTAGGCAATGTGGAAAAGTGATCTCTGCTTAGGCTGATGTCTTTTATCTTTTACAAGCAGCCCTGTACTCTAAAACATAAATATTATGTATAGCTTTGCACTTAGTACATCGATCAGCTGATTTGTTTCTCCTTTCACAACACAATTTGCATAATAGCTTGTCCATCTTCTTCCACACATTCTAAAGGGAAAAACAGTCACCAGCAAAGCTCACTTCTTCTGCAGGGATAAGTCTTAAGTGAACCTCCAGACTCAGGAAGGGACATCTAGTCTCTGTGTCCCTTTTCTGAACCTTCACAGTCACCACAGAGGTGTGCTGTTGACCTTTGGATGAGTTTGATTATATAGCTTTGATAATGGCCTGTAAGCAGCCACCAATAACAAAAGGTCTTTTGTCAGGGCAAAAGGTGTGACAACTGAAGTCTCCAGTTATAAACAAAGACTCAAAATATCTAGCATGAGAGGCCTCATAAACAGTTCAGAAGTACTGTATTAATCAAACCTGACCTTCAGATACTGTCTGCCATGCAACAACATGATGTAGAGTTAATGAGGGTGGAGCTAAATAATTGCATGATATTCTCTAGAGTCTATTCATAAAACCATATAATGCAGCCTTTTACTTTAAACCTCTAAACAACTGTCATAAGCAAAAATAAATATTATAATTGGAGACTTAAGTTGCCATAGTAGTAGCTGTGGATATGCACTTAATGATAACAATGGAGAAGCTGTGCTGAAATGGCTAGAAATATCCCTGTAAACCCTTATTCAAAATAACAGACTTCCCCCATCTTTCAAAATGGAAGATTTTTATTTAGAAGAAACAATCAAATATTGCTCTATGAATGTGATTAGAGATGGGCACAAATTAAAAAACAAATCACCAAATTTGTTCAGAAACCACTAATTTGTTGATTTGTATTCATATGAATCTATGCCCCCAATTAATCATGAATCAATGAATTTTTAGTGATTTTTGATTCATTCATTCGTTTGGTTATAAAATGGCCCCAAGACACATAGATACACCAAAATTGGAGTGAAGCTTCTTCTGACTCACTCCTACAATCCCTCCAAGTTTGGTGAAGATTGGATGTCAAACATCCACATTATATACCCACAAATTCCCCTCAGGAAAGTGTCCTTTAGCGGCTGGCTTGGGGAAACCCAATCTTCACCAAACTTGTCAGGATTATAGAGGAGCTTCATGGGAAGCCTCTTTGTTACTCTAGGTGCCTAGGGGGAGCTTTCCTGGGGACCCCTCCTTGTGCATATATAACTCAGACATCCGAAACCCACCAAACTTGTGGGACTTGAAGATATGAGTCAGGGGAAGCTTTTTTGAGAAATTGGTATCTCTAGGTGCTTTGGATGCTGTTTTATGGGGGTTTAAAGTATAAAATGAATTAACAAATTGATTCATTGATTGTCACCAAAAATTAGCAATTTGTGATTTGTCAGTTGTGACAAATCATGGATCAGAATGAATCACCATTTTTCTGATTTGTGCCCATCTGTATGTGTGATATTTTTGCAGTATTTTTTTGTGTGTGTATGTGTGTGTTCTGAACTAAAGCAGTGGGAAAAAAATCTTATTTTAGATAGTGAGAAGGGTTTGTTGCTCCTTGTCCCTTTCCTTGGGACTATGTGAAACTTATGAAATTTACTTGGAAGGCACAGGAGCAGGACAACATAGGAGTGTGGAATTCAGTTGATCTCTACTCATTTTTTTATGTTTGTCTTCCTAATAAATTATTTATTTGTCTGTGTCTATTTATTTATTTATTTATTTTTCATTCATTCATTCAGAATTTTGGTCAAATCAAAAAGATCACATGTTATATGCTAAATGGTCCCAAAACCATTTGGGGCTTTAAAGGTCACTGTTACCACTTTGATTTGGATTTTGAAACAAATTGCAAGCCAATGCAGTAGATAGCATATTTACGTAATAAGATTGTATCAATGGATCATTATTACATGCCTAGCAGAAACATTTTGATATGATTGAAATTTCCAAACCATTTTCAACAGCATTTCCACATACTGTGCATTGCAGTAATCCAACAGGGTTGTTATCAGATAATGAATAATTGTTACCAGTTTATTTCTGTCCAGATGGGATTGTGCATGTACTTTGGTGTGATCCCATCTGGTGCTTCTATCCTCTTCTACTTTTTGTGACAGTGGTGAATCCAGGAGCAATCTCGAATACCTGCCCCTTCAGGAGTACAGATTTCTTCAGAACTCTACTCACCTGAGCAGACAAATTATCTCCTACTGGCATTGCCATTCTTCTAGACTGAACTTCCATTTATTGTCCCTAATCTGTTCCATTACTCTATTCAGGCACTGATTCAGAACATTCACTGCTTAATTTGGATTAGATGAAAGGAAGAGATAATATGGTTATCTGCATATTGGTGACACCTCATTCTGCATCCACAGAAAACTTTTGTGACACTCCATTACTGGAGTGGGTTGCTAATACGACAGCAACCAGGAGTGATTTACACACTTCCTATTATGGTAAACAATAGTAATTATACTATTGATAGAGTTAACACTTCAATTAGAGCTGATGCTATTTGGATTTATAGGATTCCTTCCAACTACTTATCCTCTGTTTTGGGTGTGAATGTAAACTGAGGCAGATTGTGGAACTGAAGCAGCAGTTTATCTTGAAAGTATCAGATAAGCAAGGTGACTTAGTAGTTTCTCTGTTTAAAGGCATAGTACTTATATCATAACAACAATTAGAATTCAGTGTATCAATATGAACACCACACATGATTTCAACAAATGACTAGCTCACTATAAAGACAGTTCTTCCTAGAATGACTGTTTGTTTTACCAACACATTCAAAAGTACACCTAACTCCTTCTAGAACCTTAGGAAGATACTGTTAGCTCTATTCTTTCAAAGTTCATACTTAACCAACTACTTCCCTAGCCAAGTTATATCTAGCTTTTCTCATAGACAAACCTTAGCCCGTTTTTAAATATACAAGCCCTCCACTGGAATCTTTATTAATTGAGCCCTGGTTGGTTTCTTTCCTAACCCAGCCAATTGAGCTGTTTTCCTAACCAGCCCCCCCCTCCTCCTCCTATTTCCAAAACAAATACAAGAATGCAAAATACTTACTAATACAATCTAAAACACTGTGCACCCCCCATACCCGCAGGACCCTTTGGAGCAATAGTTTTATTATGAACCTCCTTTCCAAAATTGTATTGATTGTTGCATAGATGCTTCCCCCTGTCCTTTTACTAATACAAATTCAATAATCTACCCCGAATAGCATAAAAATATTTAAACTTGTTTCCCCTCTTTTCATCTTAAGTTCAGTAGTCAATTTATCACTTAATGCAATGTCACATACTTCAATATATCAATCTTCTAATTCATTTTTATCTTTCCCAGAATGTAGCTATTAATATTCTAGCACTTGTCATAAAATTAGAAATCAATTCCTTTGAGCAATAATCAGTCAAAAATTGACAACAAAACAATTTTAGAATTAAGTTTGATATCTTTTCCAAATATATAATATATTTCCTTAAAAATCAATTTCCAAAATTTCTGAATCAATTTACACTTCTACCACATATGATACTATGTGCCAATTTCTCCATCACATTTCCAACAGGCCTTAGAATAGTCTGAATTTATTATGTTCAATTTCACCAGAGTTGTGTACCACCTTAAACTAATTTTTTTAAAAAAATCCTTGATTCTTACCAACATTAATCTTAAAACTCTCATCTTCCAAATTTTTGACCAATCTTTTGTTTTAATTTCTGTCTTTGAATCATGTTCCCACATTGATTTCAAACCAGTCCCCTTCTTAACTATTTATGGCAGTTCAACTACCAGTCCCTGTATTGCTTTGTCATCATATAATTGGCTGAGTTGCTTTTAAGAGGCTGTCTAATTTACTTGTCACAACAAGGGACATGCCATTTTGGTTTGGTTTGGTTTTGGACTCCAAATCACAGAATTCTTCATTCTGGGAAGTCCACCTGCCAGACCCACATACAAGTTGTGCTCATTTGAAGAAAGGTTGAGATGAAAGGCTCCAGGGCCTAGGTGCTTGTTAAAGAAGATAACTTGTCCCAGTGTTTGCTGGGAGCTCTTGCTGCTTTATATTTCACCAAGATTTTTTAGCTTTAACCAATAAAACAGTAGCCATTTTTCATTTTAGTGACATGTTTTGTGTTGCTTTTCATCATTCTCCTTCACAGTCAGCCTCCTACCTTTGCCACTGAACAATCCTAGGCTGTGACTTCTGTTCGGCAAAATACAAAATGTAGAAAGTATGTCTCTTCTAATCTGTCTGTTTGTTCAAGACATTCTTAAATGGGATAATTTCAATATATTATTCTTTACAGACAAGAAGCCTAAAGCTTATCATTTAGCTTTCTGTGCCAAAAGAGGCTGTGTGAGAAAATGCTGTTGGAAATAGTTATCGAGTTTGTGAAATGCTATCAGAAAAAGACCTTGTGTTTGGTTTGAATTTAAGCCAAGGAACAAGGTTCCCTTCTTAGAAGAAACAGGAAAGGCTATGGAAGTTAAGTAGGTTTGTCTGTTTTCTAATGTACTATGACATGCTAAGTAGTTTTGTGCAAAACATAGTTTTAAAGGTATTTTGATGGCTATTGGAACTGTGTTCTGCTCATCATTGCTGATTCCAAGTATGATAGCAATATATATTGCAAGAAAGTCATATTTTCAAAAACAAGTATAAATGTTGCTGTCATAGAAGTCAAATATGAGAGCAAAGCAACAGATCTGCGCTGCTGCTTAAAATTATAAATTCCAGTTTTGCACCAGATGTCAAGCCAAGGGGGAAAAACCACTGCACATTTTCCTTTATGCATGCATAAAGACCCATTACGAGCCTATCTCATTCCCTTTATGAGCCAGTTCAGGTGTTAAGATTATCAGGAGAGGCCTTTCTCTCAGTCCCACCACTTTCACAG